GGGCTTCTTTTCTCAGATCTTCTATAGCTGTGTATTTTGGAAGGCCTGTGACTGACTTCATCAATTGGTAGTTTGAGCTTTCAAGTTTCTTCCAGTGTTGTCTGGTCAGATTGAGCCAGTTGCAGCTGTACAATGCCTTGGGTGTGAGTACTGCCTCCGTTAAGATCCTGAGGGTTTTCTCGTCAGCGCCCCAGGACTTAGTCGTGATCTTTCAGATGAGCTTAAGACCTTGTGTCCACCACTTCTGTAGCTCGGGTATGCACCTCGTGGTGCGGGCCGTCTCCTCGATGGTGACTCCCAGTATATTGATGTGCAGGCGTGTACTTATTTCCTTTCCATTGATCTCTGGTCGTATCAGGTTGGCTATTCCTTTCCTACAATCCCCTGGTCTGGCCACAACCATGTACTGTGTTTTATACGCTGATGGCTCCATCCCAACTTCAGAGATATCGAGCGACCTCATCTATACCTTCTTGCATCGTCTGTTCTTGGTCTCCCAAGGAGCCTCCGCGTGTCCAGAGCGTGACATCGTCTGCATATATGGTGAAGCCCAGACCTTCGATATTCCGAACCCTGGTAGGCAACTCTGCCATCACCATATTGAAGAATGTCGGTGAGATCACTGCTACTTGCGGTACACCCCTGCAGTTCGGGGTGTCGGGTCATTTAGTGTTACCAATCTTCACTTGGAACCTTCTGTCCCGCAGAAAGTCTTGTATTTTGAAAGTCTTGGGGCTAGCCGGCTTCAAGCCCTACAGAAATACAGAAAGGTTTGAACGACACCGCAAAATATTAAACTCTATAGACCGTTCCATTAGGGTCATAGCAGAGAGGGTAAAAGAGAAAAAAATGCACTCCCCCTCTGACCCCGCGAACCGTCCGCTCCGCCGAGTGGGCTGTAGCTAGCGTCCGGCTGGCGTGCAAACTCTGTTTAAAATCGCGTCATTTTGGAACTTTCTAGCGCAGATGCGCAGATTTTGGTATGCCAGTTGTCGAGTAATATTATGCTAGATAAAGAGACTCACAGGGTCCGATTGCGCTGTTACCAGCGTGCAAATAAAAGAAAAAATAGGGAAAACTGTGTCAGATTGGCCGATCTCTTTGGCGAAAAGTAAATCCGGTTGCTGTATTTTTTTTATTATACAAAATTCGTACTGGTGTAGGCCTTTAGCGACCATGAGTGGAAGTCTGAAATAATAAATAAAACGTGCTCTCCTGCCGCAATACACGCAATAGTTGAGGGTAGTACTGCCGGCTGATTCAACTGCTATTTAAGTAACGGAAAAAAGATATGCTAGTTGATCATTTCGCAAAATAGAACAACAGAGAGCTATAGGCTGATTCTGGAGTAGCCACAACTATTCTAAGAACGCGAACCACTTCACAACGGCAGCCACGAGCGAGAGTTCGATGTTCGGTAGAGCCCGCCGATACAGCCCAAAGATGGAGAAAGGCAACCTCCCGGTTTGTCGTTCGCTAGCGGAGTCTGGCGCGTGCCTTCTCTCTCGTTTTACCCCGCCGAACCCGCTGAACTTCCCGGACGTGTGGAGAGGGCGCTGCGGGCGAACAGAATGGTGCCGCCCAGAGAGCGCTAAATGGAATGGTCTATAGGTACAGCCAAAGCCACCAGGTACTCCAAGGAGCTCAGCAGGACGAGATGGAGGGCGCACTGCGGATCCTTCAATGATAAGACCGGCCTAGGGAAAGCCTAAAGGACCTACAGGGGCATGGACGGTAAAAGGCGCAAGGCAAGGAATGCGGCATAAAACTTAGCCCTCCGACTAAAGACAACCGAAGAAGAAATGGCAGTCAGGGCAGGCGAACGTTTCTTTCCAGAAGTCAGCGCAGCACCGCGGAGGACTAGCAAAACATCCGAAGGTAGCCAAACCTTTGAGACACCAGTAGAACCTGGGATGGAGGACCAGCTTAACATGGGAGAACTATTCGAAGCCATATACACGGCCAACACCGGCAGCGCACCGGGTCCCGAAAGCATTACTTGCAAGCCCTAAGGAATCTCCTCGAAGAAGCCAAACAAAAACTTCTGGACAGGTATAACGAAGTTTGGAACTCCGGATTGCTACCGAGACAATAGAAACCCTCGTGGAAACGCCCATTCCCAAACAAGGCAAGCTCGAAGACAGAATAGAGAATCTAAGACCGGTCTCACTTGCATCGAACATTTGCTAAACAATGGAGAAAATTGTTCTTCAAAGACTACGGTGGTACTTGGAAACTCACAACAGGCTCGATCTCAGACAAACGGGTTTTAGGGGGGCAATGGAAATCCAGGACAGCCTCAAGCTCCTCTACGAGGACGTCATGGCCAACAAGAATCAGCAAGACCCACGCCTCGTCGTCGCCCTGGACATTAAGAAGGCCTTCGATGCCGTCCCGCACTGGGCAGTCATAAAAGGAGCTAGGAGGTGCGGAATCCAAGGAAAATCCCTGGCCTTCATACAAGAATTTAAACAGATAGATATTTTAGAAAGAAACACCGAGAGTCTAACTCTAGAAGACGGAAAGTCATGAATGACTGGCATTTACAAGAAAAGTAGATATGGAATTGGAAACCAATGACGTTAGGTCTTAAAGCTGTGGCTTCAGATGAAAGGCTAATCAAGCACGTTCACAAGCTGAAAATACACAATCAGCGACTACTTTTTTAACTCAAAATGACGGTTTGGTTATCTCCGTGTAGTTTGAAATACGAGGGTTAGTTTTTTTTCTTGTTAAATTCCGATGAATTGGTCAAAACACATAGAAGTGATGAAAAAATCTTTTTGATATTCACGGTATGTAGATACGTGCTCCAGGTACTTCTCCAAATAATCACATTCACCACACTGATTTAGGATGTTTGACGTGGCACACGCTTCGGGATGCACTTTCGAAAAGAAGGTTCCCGCCTCGGTTCTGAGTCGTTCAAGGTCCTTCCGATAAACTGGATAAGAAAATGAAAGGCGTTTACAACTCTCCGTAACGCCGAATTAGAGCGCAGCTCTTAAAGAGGAGGAGGGAAGGGTACTGAGGGTCACGTGTTCTTGGGGGGTCACATGACCTGGGGATTTTCATGTGACCTCGGGGGGGGGGGGCACGTGACCTGGGGGGTCACGTGACTCACTGATACGCCGACGCCGCTCAAGCCGGGAAGGGGCGCCTAAGAGCTGCGCTCTAAAATGAAGGCCGTTTACAACTCGCTGTAATGCCGAATTAGAGCGCAGCTGTTGAGGAGGAGGAGGGAAGGATACTGAGGGGAAGGTATACCCCTCCTCCCTCCTCCTCACGTCCTCATCCTGTCTGCTACTCCTCCCTCCGAGCGGCGTCGCCGTCGTCTCACGAGGGTCACGTGAACTCACGAGGGTCACGTGAACTCACGGGGGTCATGTGACGTCACCGGGGTCACGTGACTTCACGGGGGTCACGTGACCCTTGTAAGGTCATGTGACAATGACGATTACGTCATCACGAAGACGTCACTAATAATGTCATCATCACTAGTGACGTCATCAGTGACGATACGAAAGCCGATGACGTCATCAGTGACGATGAAAATGACGTTACTGATGACGTCATCAGTGAAATCACCAGTGACGTCACGCGTCCCATAATGCACCGCGCGGTTACGCCGACGGCGACGCCGACCCCGACACCGCTCAATGCGGAAACGGGCGCCTAAGAGCAGCGCTCTAAAACAGGAGTAATAAAAAAATTGTTGTATGAGAGAGAATGTTAATTTACACCCTAGCTAGTTCTCCATATAATCATAGCACAGACGTAAGCAGTTATTACGACTTGATGCAAGCTTTTAAATGCTATCCACAAAAAGACGTTCGCTCCCGGATTCTCTGACACTCCAGTGTGGCGACTGACATGAGTGTCAGTCGCCACAAACATTATTTTTTTACCTTAATTATAAAGGATACCTGTCTGTCCTTCCCGAAGCTTCATACAGTTTACTCGCTACACATATACATCTATGGCTAGCGACGGCTTTGCTGACGTATGGTAAAATAACTGATAACCCCGGCGGCAAACATCTTAGGGGTGGGCATCCGAGAGCCCGTGCCACGTTAGAATAGCTGGCTTAATCTACTGTGTGTGTGTGCGAAGAGGTACCTAGGATCTACATTATTTGTATACTCAAATATTTTATCAATTTTTTAGCCTGTTTATCAAAACAAAGCAAAAAATCAGCCCTCATAAATAAAAACAAATAATGTATTTTTTTCTTTTTTTACGGAAGAATGAAATGTTTAACTTTGCACTGAGCGTGAGGATAAAATCGCGGTGAAGATATCATTCCATATGCCGCCCACGTAAAACGCCGAATCACAATTTTTTCATCTTTTTTCATGGTAAATTAAGTCTCAACCAATCTATGTATAATCACTGACAGCCATTATACATAAACCGGGGAACTTCTAAATGTTTTAGTCAATGTATGTAGTTATATTTTTTTTAAAGCGCAGTTTCCTTCAACCTAGGTTTGAAACTATCATATATATTTACAAATATATGTAGCCACACTTCCGGCAAGTTTGGGTTAGTTCAAATAAAAACAGCCACAAATGTATTGCATAAGGCAGTAGATTTTCGGACATTTATTAATAAAAAAAGTGGTCTAATGTTTTTCGGTGAATATTTCTTTTCGCATATTGGTGTACTTAGGTGATGTAGTAATTTCGCAGAGACCCTAAAAACGGTAATTATCGGCAAAAATTGAATAAAAGCTTAGCATTCAGGTCTAAGAGGAGACGATTTCGTCGTAGGGAAAATTGCAAAGAATCGGTGTTTTTCTGTTTTAAATGATTTTGTATTTTCAACGCCGACGGATACGTATCGGTCCTTTTTCTCATTTTAGTTGATTTAGTATTTTTGACACAGACAGAAGTTTCTCGTTTCATTTTTTTGTTGAAACCGGAAAGGGCAAGATTTACCTAGTCATAATCAGCAAAGTACATCTTGTGCAGGGTCAAGCCTCCAGGAGAAAAGAGACAATGCCCCTGCATTTCGGATTGTGGCCATTGCTGATGAGTTGCCTGGGTGTCTTCGCAGTCAACCCAACAGCTAGCGGAAATATCAGCAAAGACTCTCCACGGATTGGAAGTTCAGTGAGTAACTCTAAGTTACTTGATGGATCAACAATCCTATATCAAAATAAGGAAAACACAATGTGAATACTGTGCGTCTAATTGTGTAGATGAACTTCCGACTCATCAATGTATTTTCAATTTGATACTATATAAAAATGCCATTGTACCGGGTGTTTGTAGAAAAAGAGAGCCTTGTTTTTTGATCCGTGTAAATAAACTACGTTTCGTAGAAAGCTGGAGCTCCATACAAATATGGCGCGTGCGGTGGTAATGGAACGGAGAAAAATGTGTGAACATATCTTTATTTGGATCAAAAAGAAAAAAAAGGAAGATGCAATTTTTTTATGAGATGTAGTCCCCCTAAACCTAGGATACCCCCAAAATACAACATGATATTGTGGGCGCCTGTAGCATTTCTTTTAAGTAAAACAAACTTGCCAACAAGACACACAAAATCGTTTCCTTTCTTTGCTATAAGTATATTTTGCTGATATAAGTGCCGCAAGTGTCCACAGTATCATTTATTATTTTTAACGGTATTAGCTTAAATAAACGTCGGCTCACACAGAAATATCGAATTTCTCTTTTATATTTTCATTCAAGCAACGTCATGCTCTGAAATTTTATTTTTGTCTAATTGTCTCCCGGCATTTCAGTCTTCTGCGACATGTAGTTTATTTAGGCGGGCTGAAAACACGGTTCTTTTTTCTCACAAGCACCCGGTATGCTAAAATTTATATTTGACTCTCTAAGCGTGTTTTTTTTTCAATTTTAAATATATTCATTTATAATCAAAGATTTATAAATAGGAATGCACATTTTTTATACTTACTGAACGCAGTCATCCTTTCACGTTTACGCTGTAATTCCTTATTTCATAATTCAAAATGAAATTAATTTAATTAAATAAGAACCGCTGTGATACGTTCATCCCACATTTTCATTTGGTTTGCTACATTATAGAAATAGCTAGTAAAGTGAAACGTAGAAAAGACCTCTATAGAGTTTGCACGGTGAGAGTCGTTCGCTATTACCTGGCATTGGACGTTTATTGCGAATCATTTCGTATATCGTCGTGAGTTAATAAAATTAAAAAAGGTACAAGAAAAATTAGTCTGTTTCTGAAGTAAAAATATGTAATATCTATACTACTTAGTGATGATTGCATCTTACATAATTATATAAACGATGACAGTGATTCCATCGAGTTGCACGGTTGTTTACAAAATATTAGCTAGTGGTGTGAAAGCTGGCAGATGTCTTTAAACCTGGAAACGACCGTTTGCATGTCAATGACACATAAGAAAACTCCTGCGGTGCATAACTACCACTTAAAGGGATACTGAGCCAAAGAATTTAGTGCCCACAATAAGTGGCGCACGTTCTTTCCACAAGCCAGCAGCCGCCGGTGTGCACGAGCACACGCAACAAAAATGACGTCACAGACCTCCATTCGTGGTTGAGATGACAGTGAAATGTATGGGCTTCGGACTAAAGGAGAATTTCCAAGAGCCGCATAACAACCTTATGGGTGCAGCGCGCGGACATGGGGGATGGCTTTCATCAGTAGCTGTAGTAAAAAAAGGAAAAAGGAAGACGAAGTATTAAAGGAAGCAAGTGGATAGCCAGCGGTGTGTATGTCTATTCCTCTCATGATTTTCTAATTTGTAATTGTTCAGCTGATCCTATTCAAGTATGTACCAACTAGCTCAAGCAAAACCCGTGGAAGCCTTGGTTCATGGTGTTTTGTTATCTTCAGTTTATATGTTCATGCCTTTATGGCATTTTAAAATCTAAGTGATGTCAGAACTGTCTTAGGATATGTAACTTTTTAACTTTAGTATTTTTGAGAGTAGTGTTAGAGTGACTAAGGTGTGAGTGTTTTCTGTCTGTGTAAACATTGCTGAAGTCCCTTTTTTTTAGTATACACTTCATTAGTCATGTTGAATTAACGTGAGACTGGGGTAGAAAAGATGTCTCTTCTCTACCCTATATTCTCAGGTTAATTCAACGTGGTTAATATTCACCAGATCGCCTGCACCCTTACCACACTCTAAAAAAGCCCGTGCGTCTTCTTTTCCGCAAAACACGCGGACAGCCAATCGCTGGTGTTTGCGGAATCAGCTCAGCGAATGACAATGCCGAAATGTATGTTTAGACTAAAAGGCGAAGTCCGCGATGTAGCATCAAGCAATGCAAGCGTGACGTTTTGCATTCCTTAGTGCTACATCGCAGACTTCGCTTTTTGGTCTAAACATATGTTTTGGCATTGTCATTCGCTGAGCTGATTCCGCAAACAGCAGTGATTGGCAGTCCGCGTGTTCTGCGGAAAGAAACCGCACGGGCCTTTTTTTTAGAGTGCATATTTTCCCTTTGTCAGTGTTGATGAATGCCTCATTTTTTTCGCAAACCTTCAGTATAAATTTTAGAAGGAAATGACGCCTGCTTTTGCGGCATCAGTGTTCATGTTCAGTGCTACACAAGGCACTTGCCACGTATTTTTACCTAATAGAGCTTGTCGTGTCAAATGTCGTGACGCGAATGAGAGCATCATATGGTGATTTTAGTCGCAGACAGAATTTGAAATGCAAGGCGTGGCTTATACTCACGCGTTTTGCTTCGTCTTTAGTGTTTTCACGTCCTTATCGTCTGATGCCGCGATCTGATTGGCTGCGGACCAATAATCAGACGATCGCGACTAGCCAGTCCCTGCGTTTCCGAAACTGTCAGTGACCATACTCCCGTGTATTTGCGCATGAATTTTTGAAACAATTTGCTTGAGGTTTACCGAAACTCGTTATATGAATATACGGCTTAATCATTTGGTGTTGGCTTAAAATTTGTCATCCGCGAACGATATTACAAGCACATGTGCATCCAGAACGCGCCCTATTGCTGCTCCTCTTACGCTAAATATTCAGATTGTACAACTATAATTGGGCAAAGTCTCATTTACGCTAACACCGCCTGTTATTGTTTCAATAGAACTAGTTTTATTTTATAATTAGCAAAAGAGCTGCTAGGTTTATAAAGAGTAAACATTAAAAAAACGAGCTATTTCAGTACTGTGTAGGAACTCAATCAATCGCTAATTGAATAAAATGCAGGTTTCTCTCCTTTTAAGTGTATATCAACTACGGAATCTGGAACGCGTTTGTTACTAATGTGTATGCGGACCGCGAGTTGGTCTTCTTCTGTTGCAGCGGTTGTGGTGACGTCATAAAGACGCCGAGCTATGATTGGCTCTGATTGAAGGATAGTGGGTAGACTTCAAAGCAGGTGGCTTTGAGGTCTACTCATTATCCTTTAATCAGAGCCAGTCTGGCGTCACCGCAACCCCTGCAGAAGAAGCCGACGAACTTGCGCTTCGCATAGCGTCCATCTCGCCCATACATAAAAACGTGGTTCCAAAGTAGCAACAAATGACGTCCCAGAAGCCGGCCTCTTTGTTGGTTGTCGCCATTCTTGCGTTAGGATTCTAGAAGACCAGGGAAAACGTACGAGCGACCGCGAGTGCCGCTGTCGTCGCGGAGTCCCAACCCCTGAGTACAGAAGTTTAATTCCCTGTCCTATCAATAGAGATTTATCTGCAGGAGTACAGGCATCTGCCCCATATACTACCGCTGCTGTGGCACCGCCAAGATCGCGGCCGGTGTCAGCATGACACTTTTATTACTCTATCAGGCGGAAATGGGGGGATCGCCTTTTAGGACGTGGCAAACACACCAGTCTGAGATGGGTTTAAGGAACGTAATATCAGCTTTGAATAACGGAGTGCCTCATCTCCTGCTTCTGAAACACCAACTTCAGCCTAATAAAAAAGAAAAAAGACGTAGATTAAGTCTGATTTTAATTTTACATTTATTTGTATAATCAATAAGCTCACCACTATTCCGGAATGTAACCGTCTGGCATGCGTCATTGTTTACTACGAATCCGCACTGCTGGCTGCTGAAAGGGCCAACCTGTCATTGGGACCACGCTGTATATATGATCAAGCATTTTTTTTTATGTTCTTACATTTTTGTTTGTACACTGGGGTCAAAGCTTGTATAATGTTTTATACAAAATCTAGCGAACGTGTTGGTCCTTTTATACTTGCTACATGTTCATTACTTTCTTGACATTTACAGATATGCTGTGTATGCGAACTTTGGTGAATGAACTCGAAGGAAGCAATAAAACTTTGGTTGGGGCTAGTTGGTTCATATCGATTAAAAGGTTAAAAGGCGCGAACAAACAGGACGAAAAAATAGGCACGTACGACACGGACAGGCGCCAACTTCCAACTGATATATTGAAACCCGAATCATCGTCAAACTCGATCCCAATCGCCTAAACACATGCAACTGATAAAAATTCGTATCTTTCATTACACAGATCCTTCAAGAAACACAATTTCTTTGGTTAAAAGATAAAGAGATGGCATGCTTACGCATCTGTCAGCCGCTTTGTGTATATAAAAAGCCTCGATTAGTTCTCTTTCCATTTTTTCCTTCCCTTTCTTGATCAACCTTGTGTGCTCAAACAAAGGTTCGCACCCACATCGTTTGCAGTGCTCCGCAAGATGCCCACCCGAATTATTGCGTACGGCAAGCTTATGTTCGCGCGCTCTTTCATTAAAGCATCGGCCGGTCTGACCGATGTAAACTTGGCCGCAACTAAAAGGAATCTCATACACCACCTTGGTCACGCATTCGGTGTATCTTGTTACATGTTTCTTTGAGCACACTACATACTTTCGTTTTGTCATCGCGGAGCATATCTTTGAAAGTTTGCACGGGGCTGAGAAGACGACGTTAACCCTGTGTGTAACAGCCATCTTTCTTAAATTGTGGGACACTCTGTGCAAATATGGTATCACCTGCACTGGCATCTTCTCTGTCTTTTCACGACTTTTGTCAACACCCTATCGTTTAATTTTCTGTAAGACCCTTTCACACAGACTTGTCACTAAGCTCTTCGGGTAATCAGCCCTCGTCAAGTCTGCAACCTGCTGATCAAAGCTAACCGGCAGT